TCTTCATTTGATCTCCATCACCTTCTCTGCTCCTCCTCCTCCTCCTCCTCCTGCCCCCTACTCCTCCTCCATGACCTTCTTCATTTGATCTCCATCACCTTCTCTGCTCCTCCTCCTCCTCCTCCTCCTGCCCCCTACTCCTCCTCCATGACCTTCTTCATTTGATCTCCATCACCTTCTCTGCTCCTCCTCCTCCTCCTCCTCCTGCCCCCTACTCCTCCTCCATGACCGTTTTCATTCGATCTCCATCACATTCTCCGCTCCTCCTCTTCCCCCTCCTCCCCTCCTCCTCCTCCCCCTACTCCATCACCTTCTCCCCTCTTTCTCCTCCTCCTCCTCCTGCCCCCTACTCCTCCTCCATGACCGTCTTCATTCGATCTCCATCTCAGGGGCAGGTACGTTTATGTAAACGCAGGGTACATTATATGCTGAGAAGATACAGGTCTGGTACACTTGTACCTCGGTAGGTCTGGTACTTGTATTGTTGGTACTTGTACTTTGGTTTGGTCTTGTACCTCGGGTACATATCTGTAGTACGACAACGACCCCTTCAGCCACACTGACACATAAATATATAGTGTATACATGTATACTATATATTTATGTGTCAGTGTGCAGCAGCTAGCGTGCGGTGTACTTGTGTGTTGCAGATGAGCATTTGACCGGCATTTACAGGTGATTATAGGCGAAATAGAGTAGAGAAACATTAAGACTTTGGTAGTAAATACATTTCGTGTTTATTTACATTTTTTTATTTATTGAGACGTTCCAAGTGCCTGTGAGCACAGGGCTCTGCTCTCCTGCGTAAAGGAACAACAAAGTAGAAAGACAGGCTATAGTAGTAGACAGGCTACCTCTACAGCCAGTCTATCTATTTCTCATTTAATGCACGAACGCGGCAACGATGAACGAACGCGATAAGGTTGAGCGCTATCCTCGACGTTGTTTCTGGTATTATACAGATCGCTGCCAATACGCAAAGACTTTCCGCAGTGGTCGAGTGAGGGCTGATATCTATTAGGCGCGGCTGACTGACGTGCTCCCCCCTACCCGTGCCTGGGTCTCGCATCATTTCCGGTCGCCTCGCCGGAGAGCGGGTAGGAATGCTCTTCCACCAACGAAGCCGTTATTAACCAGCGCGGAGTCGGTCACACGGCCGCGCGTGCACTCAGTACAGCAGCTGCGGGGCATGCGCGTCATGCGGTGCCGCATATAGAGCGCCTGAAGCCATGGATCACAGCGTCAAGACGCTCACGAGCCGCCCCAATATCAGACTACAATGGATATTGCAGCGGCGAAGATTCGAGAGCGACGAATTGGAGAGGCTCTACCAGAAGTACATCTTCAAGCTGCAGCAGTCGTCGATCGCGTCGGTGCTGCTGCTCTTCATCGTACTGTCGGGCGCGCTGGCCGTCATCAGCCTCGTCTTCACGGGCCAGCCGACCGTACAGAACGTCTACTACGGCGCGCAGTGCGTGCTCTTCTTCTTCCTGCTCACCTACACCAACACGCGATGGATGAAGGACTCGCACCTGCTCGTCGTCTGCTACATCATCCTCATACTGGGCGCTCTATTCGCTGCGATATCGCTTCCGGTCAACTACGTGGTACCGGTCGGCCAGGATGAGGTCTGGCTGCGCGCGGCTCCGGAGGGAGTGTGGGAGATCATCTTCGTCGTGTTCCTCGTCTACGCGATGCTACCGTTGAAAACCTACTTCTCCGTGCTATTTGGAATTATACTGCCGATCTGCCACACCGTGGTTGCTGCCTTGTGCGTGAATGACGTCTTCGCACTACCACTATGGCTTCAGGTAAGCACGCTGCGCGGATATAGCGAGGCATGTGGTCGCTTCTCCACACGCAAGCTTATAGCGAAGCACCTTTACACGTCAAATCTTTGAGTTGCCGCGAGTGTTCACCGAACATTACGCTCGATGCAGAAATAATTCGCGTAAACACCATTTCCGAGAAAGCCTTTGTACGGCCCGACTGCCGTCGCACGTCCTTCCGACTTCCGCGAATCACTGAAAAACACTCCTATGGTTAACAACCGGCCGTAAACGCTTCTATAGAGCGCACACTCTTTTATACGCACACTAAATCGGTATACAAACACGCGGTGCTGGCCTGATCATATCATCTTTCAATCGTGATCATATCTATTCATCCGCGAACCCTTTGTGTTCGGCCTCATATATCAATGTCTTGTGTGAGCGAACGAGAGAGAGAGCGTGAAGGGAAGAGAGAGCAAGAGAGAGAGAGAGAGAGAGAGAGAGAGAGAGAGAGAGAGAGAGAGAGTGTGTGTGTGTGATCGAGCGAGAGAGCGAAAGAGAAAGAATGAGAGAGACAACGAGGGAGAGCGAACGCTGCGATGGGAGGGTGCTCTTGATTTGTTTGCCAGTGAGTTTAGCATCAGAACACCTACCGTCAGGTGAGCACTGTCGCTCTGCGGCACTTGTTGCATTACGATGTAGCAAGTCAATGTTGCCAGTATTGAGTTTTCGGACAGAGTGTGACACGAACAGCCAGGTGCTGCACCATATCGGCAGGATCTCTGCAACATGCTAGTGTTACTGAATACTGATGCGCTATTTTCGCGCTACAAAGCACAAAAATAGACAATCGTGTTCCCTGTGCGCGAATTTAAACTAGTACGGCCGCTGACCCTATACGTGGTCAGGGTTATGCGCATGAGCAGCAGAGCGCAGCAAAGCGCAGCAGCTCGTCCTAGCGTTACCAGACAAACCTCACTGGTCGCGGATATGTACACGTGCATCCCAGAAGTGCAGTAGGATGCTCGAGTGTAACAGTATCGGGTAGAAGCGAAAATGCAGATGTGTATAGTGCGCTGATATCAACATGCTCTAGTGTATAGCCACCGTCACGTATATTCCACCGCGATGGAATTTCTCCGTCAGCGAACTGTCAGCTGTCGTCAGGCCGGTGTTCTACTCGTGTTAACATCTTGCTTGCTCGCGCTGATAACTGTCAACCAGCGTATGTTCGGTACGACGTCGCAGCAGGAGTCGGCGAGCGGCGGCGCGCGTGAGATCGTCGTCAATCCCATCTACGCGACGAGCGACGGCGAGAGACGGCGCTGCGCGGCGGGAAAGTCGCGCTTGCTGCCGCAGTGCGTCATCGTCGGCTTTCCGAAGTGCGGCACGTTCGCTCTGCTCAAGATGCTCGACCTTCATCCGGACGTGATGGCGCGCATCGCGCACCCGTTCGAAGTGAACTTCTTCAACAGCCACTGGCGACGCGGTCTCGACTGGTACAGACGCATGATGCGCTGCTCGTCACCCGGCCAAGTGTCGCTCGAGAAATCGCCGAGCTACGTTTACGACGGCGACGTGCCGGCACGGATTAAGGCAATGAATGATTCCGTGCGCCTGCTGATTATGGTCAAAGACCCGTTTGTTCGGACGGTGTCTAGTTATCTGCAGGATGTCAGCCGTGGTCGCTCGACTAAGACCTTCGAGGAAACGGTGGCGGGGAACAATAGCGGCGGAGTGAACCCGGACTCGTTGAACGTGCGGCAGAGTCTGTACTATAACTACTTGCTGCCGTGGTACGCGACGTTCCGTAGCGAGCAGATACATATAGTCGATGGCGACAGACTCGTGACGGACCCCGTGTCCGAGGTGCGGCAGATAGAGACCTTTTTAAGGCTCGCGCATAAGATAACCGAGGACTCGTTGGTCTACAACGAAGCGAAGGGGTTTTATTGCATGAAGAAAGGTTCTGCGAATCAGACGAAGCACGTGTGCATGGGCGAGGGCAAGGGTAGACCGCATCCCGACGTCGATTTCGTAATCGAGAAAAATTTGAAAACGCTCTTTTGGCCGTATAATGAAAAACTCTACAAACTAGTTGGCCGTCGCTTTAATTGGTAGAATTGAAACTGTAACTGTTTTCGCGTTGTGCCGAACATGCACCGACGAGCATGCGAGAGCCCAGTACATTGAAGAATGCGTTCCCGGACTTCATTACGAATACTAATTAATTTATTGACATAATTAGGTTTCTCACATGCGCATGGTGATCGTTGATTACGGCAACGTGAAAAAGTCTGCAAGTAATTAAAACATATCTAGTTACAACTTATGTAACTTTTACTAATGAATTAAATTCCCAATTTTAAGGTAGCCGCAGCGGTAATGGGGCGGCCGTTTGAGAAACGTCGGGAAATGCAGGACGTATTTAGTTGGCGATGTCTTCGTCGCATATTCGTCTTTTTCTTTTACGGTCGCCTAAACAGCAACGCATTCGTTACCGCCGTCACTCGGACCAAGACCCAAATCTCTACTCGGGCAGGCTGAGGCTGATCACGGTGCTTATGGGATAAACATGAATTGTATAGATAGACCTAGATAGCCCAGCTAGTACATGATTTATATGGTAATAGGTAAGACCCAACCCAGCAAGCCAATCACGCGCATTTATGTTTAAAGGTTCCATGATAGCTTGTAATCGTAGAGTTTATATCGTTATTAAACGCTTAGTGTACTCCGCTATTCCACTGTCATGTTGGCAATCTCTTTAACTAGCTTCACTAATAGGCGTGGACATCTTTGGCAAAATCTAGGTGGGCTACGCGTACCGAATGATGCGCGCCACTGTAAATTAACGAGCCCGCGTTTGTTAATCGGAATTGCAATTTTGAATGAAATCGATCGCGAATACGACTAGAGATTCAGATGTGAAAAGCCCCCGGTTTCATTTCGAGTGCGTGAATTAACAGGTATACCTTGACTGAGTAGTGTTAAGTCAATTTGAATATAAGAATAGACCGTTGATAAACATGAGCCAGATACATTAATATGGCCCTAACGCGCCAGATAAATTAATATGAAAACAGTCAACGAAAAGCAGCAGGGTAGTACAGGGGTAACATCCCAGTTGGCCTACTCCCATTTCGCCTACTTTCCATTTCGTCTACTCTTAGAATGGGCAATATTCCCATTTCGCCTACTCCCATTTCGTCTACTCTGAGAATGGGTAATAGTGCCATTTCGTCGTAGTGTGTGTGCCACTCCGTCTAGTCTATGTGTGCTAATCAAAAAACCATACATTACATTTATAAATGATTATTTAGTGGACAAACTGATTGTAGACAAAATGGGAATTGGGTGAATTTTGAGTGTAGACGAATCGGGAGTAGGCGAAGTGCATTGGGTGTAGATCAACTGGGAATTTTGCTATAGACGAAATGGGAATTCCGCCTTAGGCGGCGAAATGTGAGTATGCCAATCGGGCATAAACCAATACAGGATCACATAGAGCTAGCATCCGAATAGAGTGCAGAGACCCAAACCTGAGCTTTACAGCAGAACTCACGATCCTCGAGATAAGGTGACGACCTACGACAGACGGCGCGATCGCAGCGCCGCGTGTGGCGGTGACCAGAAACCGCTACAATACACATAGTTACACATTCCTTGGAAACCCGTATCCGTCTTTATTCTAATGAGCGAACCAGGAACTGAGCGGAATAGCAGCTAGTGGTGCGTAATTATACCTCGTATAATTTCAAGGTTGTGCACCTGTAGGCCTATATATTATATAGTCTTAGCTTGGCACTTACGTATACATGCTGTTTTCGCTATAAGTTCAAGCCCCACACAGGAATCGTGAATTTCAACTAGTTACGTTTGAGACACTCGTGTATGATAGTAATTTAGTTAACCATTTCGCGTTGTCATCACAGCTGATCCCTGGTGATTCAGACTACGTAGCTTGATCGAGAGGATTGATAAGTTTTGATTACAGATTGCAGAAACATCGTTAATTCGTGGCAAATAAAATGCGGATAAAATTACATGGGAGTCATTAGCGTATAACAGCAGATAATAGGAAACCATAGGTGATGCGATACCTACTACCACTAGGAGCATATGAATAGCGATCTCCATATTGATTTACCATCTATATTCGTGTAATCGTGATACAAGAAAACAATTAATGTGATCGCTGCGTTGTAACAGCCTGTTATGCTAGCATCTATGAAAAATACGACATACGCATATACGCTCTCCTATGACACTATTTGGCATAGGAAGATTCTTCCTATGACAAATATTGTTGTATGTGTTGTGCGCATCATAGGAGTTTATAGGAGCGCTATTATGAACGCAGGCAGTGAATTTCAGCTGTAAAGCGCAACGAAGTTGACTCGCCAATATTTGTCACAGGACGAATCTTAATTCCTATGACAAATAGTATCATAGGAGAGCGTATATGCGTATTAGTCAGGGGTGTTAGGGATATTTTGGTTCACATTCTTCCAAAAGCACCAAATTTGGCCCAGATGTTGCCCATACCATACTTTTTCGATTTCTGGCGGGCGCCGGAATGGGCGCCCCCCGGGGCCGCCATATTGGCAAATTCCAGTATGGCCACCACCCGTGTTGGGGGGCAATCTAGGTAAACATCCAAAAGATCTATAATCATAAATAATACCACTTTTTAGGGGTTTTCAACGTCTGGGAATCTGATTCTGATCTTACTTCAGTGATTTGAGGTCAAGGTCACCCCTCCAGGTCACCTTAAGGTCATTTTGGGGTCAAATATGTCATTTTTAGTGTTTTTTGTCAATATATACAAACAGAACCTCATTTTATCGGTTTCCGGGGTTGGGTAACCCGAATCTGACCTTATTTGAACGATTTGAGGCAATATTGCATGTCAGGGTCACGATAGAGGTCACTTGACCGAGAGGTGAATCGTACGTCAATTATAGGTAAAAAACATTAAACACTAAGAATTAGACATAATACCACTTTTTAGGGATTTGTGGCTTCTGAGAATCCGATTCTGATCGTATTTTGGCGATTTGAGGACATAGTGATCACATTTTGGGGTCAAAGGTTAAAGCTCAGCAGTGTACTACTAAAAAATAAACAAAGATTATTCAGGAATCCATTTTTATTAAAGTAATTCAGACTAAAGTATTACTACTGGTCATCTTCGCTATTAACGCACCCACCTTCGCATTTGCAAAGGGCCGTACATCGGACACCGGCGCGGTTGCATTTGCACCTTCCTGTGCATGCCTTGAGGCAGCCGCAGTGCAAGAGAATGGCACATGCCACTGAAGCGTCGCTGAGAGTGGTCCATAGTGGTTGCCATGTACTGGTGCCATCTTTGTGCCATCCCCACTCACTGAAGTCAGGAATTTCTTGCTGGACCGAGGTGGCCTGACTCCAGTAGAAATGTGCCTGTAGTAACGCTCGCTTTACATGCTGGAACAGTGCTGCTTGGGTAGGTGGAATATATTTTCCAGTGATCTGCTTCCAGTGGTGAAGAGGCGATGCCTGGCCTCATTGACACCAGCTGCACCACACCCCTTGCTGTACATGAGTACCACGAAGCGTTCGATCTGCTGCATATGTACAGACACCAGACTGAAGAGGTCAGGGTCGCGTGTGAGAGCCACTAGTGTGTCGGTGAGGTCCGGCATGCTTTTCCAGGCTTCCCAGGCGGTCTTCTAGCCACATCCAAGAAACTGTGAAGTCGTGTCACATCCTGTTAGGCTGTGGAAGAGGGGTAGTGTCAAGGACTTTGAAGGACCGAGATTAGAGCCGATGGTATGTACTGGAATATCACGGTACTTTTTACCAGTACCGAACCCCACCCAGAGCTCTGATAGGCCGAGGGTCTCGAAAAACCGGATTGCCAAAACCACGACATCGCTGTCCACCGTGCGAACATAGGCTGTTGTATGACCCTGCTCTGCGGCATGTGCCAGATGCAGTAAGATCCTTGTGTCCGCCTCGGAATGGTTGCACGGCTTTGCGGATGGAAGCTGAGGTCGTTAGACATGTTTGGGAGGTTTAATAGAGACTATATGAGGGTAATAATTGAGCCACATATTTGGTTTCAATAATATGCGAGACGAGAGTTGATTATGCGGGTCTAGGGAATTGTGACGACGCACGATTCGCAGGACTTCTGACTGGTCGAAAGGTAGAAGCCTTTAGACGTGGCCAAGAAGTGAAGAGACACATATAGAAGGGGGCACGGGCAAGTAGGGGGCTCTCGGTTTCTGACCCTCATGATCTGGGCCTCATGGATCATACCCTCAGGCCTCTAGGCATCAGAGTTCTCGGCCTAAGGCTTTTCGTCCTCCTGATCTGGGCCTCATGGATCTCGCCCTCAGGGCTCTAGGCCACAGAGTTGTCGGCCTCTGGTCTCTCGACCTTGGATGGCTATACTGGTTAGAGAGTCGAATAAAACACGTACTACACCCCCGACGAATAATCGAACATCACAGATATGTCTGCAATAGCAAAACAGCGTTGACCGATTCCAACGTTCGTATGAGTGTGCACAACAATTTCAGCATCAGCTGGTATCAGCGGTCGATATGGAATCAGTCAAAGTCAATAGCACAAACCATGTTGAAGGAAATATTTGCACATTATTTGTACGTAAATTTGTATTATATAATAGAGTTTTAGTATTGGTATATTCCGCATCTTGACGCCTATTCTTCTGTATGTAATTCTTTTACTCCCGAAATATAATACTGGCAAGTGTCAATTTGGCATGGTAAACGAATTACAGTTAACGGCGTATAGGGTATGGTGCAGCGGGCGATGACTCGAAGAATGCGTTAAACTTCACATGTAGTTTGCTCAGGAATGATGACCCGAACTGTGGAAATCCGCTCTTGAGATTTTATCTATCTAAAGACGAGTAGCGAAAGACCGAGAACTGTGTTCTTAGGTTAAGCTCAAAACGTCTACGCGGAATGGCCTGTAGCTGAACGAAATAACAGTTAGAGTTCGAACGTATCGTGTCGCGCCATCTATCATGAAACGTCCTTGAAGCACGATCTATCGATCTCTCGTCCGGAGCGCAACGCTTACGTTAACTTTGAATTGAAGCTGCCGTTTGCGGGTACATGATCTCCTTACGTAAAGCGGACCTCCCCGTGGGCGGCATCTAAGAAGCATTAAGACGACTTAATCAATTGATTGTTCTGATCTTCATTCGAAAAAAACGCGCGTTTTCTCGTACGTGGTGCTGGGCCCAGTAACAGCAACGCCTCTTTCTCATATGGGTATTGATTAAGGAAATAGATCGATAAGTACAAGACGAATGGCAAAATCGACGACGTCGCATGTGTGCGGATCGATGAGGTACAATGTCGTACGATTTGAAAATGTATGATACGTTATCGATCCGAAGTGAACGAATACACGCATGATCACCGCAACCATGTAGTTAGCAAGACTCTTTGGGGGTCTTTGGTATCGTATGTGTATATCGTCGCCTTCGCTGGCAATCGATCAAGATAATGAAACGCTGGTCTTAAAGTATTGCAATTAGTTAGCATAACGTCATTGGCCGGTCATACCAATCGCATATATCAGAGTGCACTTCCAACGAATTATAGCAGTCCGCCTAGCGGTAATATGTATAGGAAGCATCTAAAACTTAATATTATACATTAAATCAGGCGTCCCATTGATTTATAAGAAAGCATTTACGCATTGTTGTGACGCTACAA